TTAATTAAGAAAATAATTGGTCAGTCAGTCCTCCACGAATTTCTCAGTCTCCCACCATTTTCTCCACTCCCCACGAATTTCTCAGTCTCCCACCATTTTCTCCACTCCCCACGAATTTCTCCCCACTCAGGTGCAGTTTGCTGCCTATAAATACAGGGTAGAAATTCAGAAGTGGGTACATCGGATTTCACAAATTCACACGAATTTTGATTTCCCTCTTCTCTTTCTCATTTCTCTTCATCTCAAAAACTCTCTTTTCTTGACTGGTTATTTTAATCAGATACTTTGAAAGGTGTATTTCTAGAGCGATTTATCAGTGTGCAACTGATAATCGTAAGTTGATTGAACGGGCTGTTTTATCCTGGAGGCGTCGTCGTAAATTCGACTGCTTTGCATAATTTGGCAGTACGGCGAAACGTCTTAAAGAAAGCGACCTAGTACGCGACTCGTCCCGATAATTTCCTTGTGCCAAACGCTATTTTTTCAAATCCGAAAACAACAATAACATTGCAACATCTATTAACATAATAACAATTTTTAACTTTCATTGACACTTGATATATCAAAGTATAATGATCAAGTTCTCCTAACTTTTAATTATCTTATCCAACTAATCAACATTCCAATATCATGGCAGTTTTTACCGGTAGAAGACCCATTGATGAAGCTTTTGAAAATAGTCAAAATCTGCATAACTTTGTTGCAATCTCATTTCCTAATAATCTTATAGAGATTCTGGACCCACGTCTTGTACCTAGACATGGAAAAGTAAAAGTAGCAGATGGAAATCAGGAGAATCTTGCTCCAAATGTAGAGGAGGGCTTAGTTTCACTTTTTAGGATTGAACTTACTTGCTCAATGGAATCACCAAAAGAAAGAATGAATATTGTTGATGTCACTAGAGAACTTAACATAATCAAAAACGTCTTTTTCGCTGGTGAGACTTTTTATGCTTAGTTGAATCATAACTAGTAATTAATTTCTTCCAAGAGTTATAATTTGATTTTTTATTATCTTATTGTGTATTTCAAAAATACTAAACTACAAAATACAAAGGTAATAATGGGTTTCTACTTGATTTGAGTTTCAGGTGTTGACACTCGTAACAAGTACTTAAAGCTTGACTAAGTTTCCAAGTCATTTGTGGAAAGAGAAGTTGTGCAGCAGGGTATATTTTTGTTAAGAAACTCGTCCTTTATCTTAAAGTCTCTATTAATTACTAGAAAGATTATATACTGTCAAGTTAATACCATACAAAATACATGTAAGATTGTGTTCAAGTATGCTGCATAAGCATGCCAGGCAACTAGTATGACTCATGTATGCTGTATAAATATGTTATGCAGTAGAATAAGCATAGTCTGGTATACACCAGTATACATAAATTAACAGTATCAGTTTGTAATCAATTAAACTGAATGAAATTCATAATATGAAATACTGCATTCATTATTTCTAACGAGATGTCAAAATCATTCTTCTAGTATTTTATAGTTTTATTTGAAGCATTAGATAAGAAATAATGTTGGTTTCATGTTATCAATTTTATATATGACATTCCATATTATTTTAATTACTTATCTTAATTTGAATGCTTAATTTATTTTATCAATTTAAATTGTTATTATGTTAATGGATGTTGTAATGTTATCAATTTGAATGTTAATTGCCCTGCTATAGAATGAGTTTGGTTTTATTGATGTTAAAGATACTGCAATGACCTGCAATGAAGAAAGAGATAATGTTGTAGTATATAATGTCTTTTCGAAGTTCCACATTGATTTTTTTTATAAGACATAAAAGTGTTTATAAAGTTGAAACAAACACAACAATTCAATTGTGGATTAAAAAGATGGATCATAGACATGGGTCAATAACTATAGGCCCAAAGAGTTTCATTTAAAATTTTGATTAATTAATTATAAAAATTAATAATAAAATATTAATCATTAATTAATTAATTAAAATAATATTAATAAATTAATTATCCTTTTCAATAAAAAAAGTCTTAAATTAATTTTTTAAAAATGACTTCACATTAGACACGTCATCTTAAATATTGCCACATTATTAAAAAAAAATTAAAATTGGAGAGGGGACTAAAATCAAACTCAAAACTTAAAAAAGAGACTAAAATCGTAGTTTTTAAAATGGAGGGACCAAAACCCAAAAAAATACAAAATAGAGAGACCAGAGTTGCAATTAAGCCAATATTCTTTAAATTTCAGAACAATCGGATGCATTTTGAATTAATAGAATTTTAATTTAATATGAAAAATTTTAAAAATCTTTTTTTTAGGTATTTTACATAGATATATCTTCTTATGTTATTTGTCTTAAAATATATCATAACTCTTTCTTCTTTTTTCAATTTAAAAAAAATAATATTAAACTTTTTTTAAACTCTTTCAATTCATTGTCTCTTAAAATCAACCAATTAAGTTCAAAATTTCTTTTATCAACATCAAATATATCTAAAAGTTTATTTAACACTGAAGTAAAATTATAATTTGTAAGTTTTTATTTTTATAAATTTTTTTTGAATTTTTATATAAATGTGTAGAAATTGATTATTCAGTATCGAAATACATAGTTCAAAGGAGTTAAAATAGGCATTAGGTTAGAGTTAACCCTAATTTGTTACCTATGTAAACATGAGTTGCATTTGATAAAAGGAGAGCACACAAAAGGAAAAAACGGCGGCCGTTCTCACGACTTATCAGAAGAGGAAAGCGTCAGCAAATCCACCAAACGGCGCAAAACCACCGCGAACCGCTTCGAACCCCGAACGAGGTGAGCAGTTCTTTTTGTCAATAACAAAGTTTTTCTGTTGTTTTCAGGTGGAACAAACCGAAGAAGAAGGAGAGAAATCGTTTCCGGCCATGCAAGAATGGAGCAAAGCTCAAAGGAGCTGCAACGACGCCGCCACCGTGATGAAGAAGAAGATGGGGTTTCTAAAAACCTAAAGATTGAAATGCTTCAGCGTGAAGCCTACTTTTCCCCTTTTATTTTTTATATTTTTTATTTTTCTTCTTCTTATTATTATTATTATTATTCTGATTTTCTTTAAATTGTAATTATGTCATTATAAATGGTTAGTTTAATTAAAAAAATATTTGCTAGTTAAACCTTGTTTTAAAACTCTGTTCTTATAATAAAAAAAATTAAAACTGTTTTTTATTAAAACTAAAACTTCTTTTTTAAAAAAAATTTTAATTGAATCCTTTTTTAAAAAAATTAAAACTAAAATATTTTTATTAAAAACCATTGTTTCAAAATTAAGATTAAATTTCTTTTTTCAGAAATTAAAAATAAAGTTTTTCAAAATTAATAAAATAATAAATTTCCAAATTGCATTTTCTTTCTTTCATTATTAATTGCTTTATTATTTGTCATTGATTTCCGCCTAACTTTTTTTCACTAACGTTCTCTATTTGTTTTCCGCTAGGTTTTAGTCGGTCTCCGATTATTATTAATTAAATATTTCATTATCATATTTGTAATTTGTTCCATGAATGTAATTTACGCGAGGCCATGGTCGCGGTTTATTTTATTTTGCATTTTTTGGGGATTTGTAATTTACGCGAGTGATCGTCGCGATGCTTTATTTACTTTCCGCATTTTATTTCTACCATATAATATTTCGCCATGTTTGCATGATTTACCGTTAGGATTCCCTCCGAAGGAATTAGGTCCAGCCGTTTGACCGTCGAGTCAATAACTCTAAGTTTTGACCGTTTCAAAAACCCTAATAGCCTAGGTGTCCCGCCGTGGACGAAAATGCCCTTTACCCTAGCATTAGGTCAAAGAGTCGCCGTACTCTGTTTAGGGTTTGCCGCCGTGGAATCCCTCATTTCAACCCTAAATTTTCAATTAACAAATTCAACATAGAAATAGGAGTTTCAAAGACTCCACGTAAGCGTGTCCTTAAGATACGTTTATTCCCCATTGAAACCTTGACCATAGTCAAGACGTTTCTAACCTCCCTTTCGAGGGGAACTACGATTACTCTGATTCCATTCCCTATCCAGGATACGTAGGCACAAGACGCGACGTCTTGCCGAGTAAACTTAGGACTAACCCTTAGGTCTTTAGGTCACTCTATCCCTTAGCAATATATTTCAAACAGATAAAAAAATAAAATAAAAAAACATACAATAAACAAAAGGTTCCTGTAGAGTACTACAGTTTAGGGTGCTAGTACCTTCCCTAAGCTTAACCAACCCCTTACCTAGATCTCTCCCCGCATTGTCTTCACGATGCAAAATTAGGTTTTCCTCTTTTGACCTTTTCCTTCAGATAAATCAAAGAGCGGTTGTGAACTAAAGATGCGATTCAAATTAATTAATAATTTGATATCATATTCTAACCGCAACACAAGATATGCTGAAGATATTAACGATATGTTGCAACGTCCTCAACTACCCGTTTATAACGACATGTAATATTAAACTTATGTTAATAACTATCTATATTATGTTGAGTGTTTTAATTCATTATCAAGTTATTGTGGTTTCTAAATCTTGCTGATATTGTTTCTATTTTGAAGTATAGGGTCATTTTCGAATATGCATCTCCGAAAATATACCTAATACAGATGCAATTTCAGATTAAAATTAAGTGTAATAGAGATGGTTCACTCTTTTGCATTCAATTTTGTGAAAAATTAATGCGCTCGAAGATACATCTACAAACTCTAAGAACATTTTTAAATTTTCATCAAATGTTTGTGAGAAGATATAGAGATGGAAAAGAAATTCCATTATTATTTATTGTTGGGCCCTTTTTAAACCTTGTAATAATGAGATTTTCAATGATGGTAAGTGGTTAGATAGGAAGATTCTTAGCTACATTTATTCCATGCATTGGCTAGTCACTAATTCCATTGGTCTAAGCTAAGAATCCTCTAAATACAAAGTGATAACACTTATGTTGTACAAAAGCTCATTAAGATACACCAGAGATGAACCAATTCATCTACCCCTGTATCAATATTTTCTTCAGCTGCTAAGTTTTGACTTGCTCTTTATTTTCGACCAAATCAGAACAAGAGAAAAACCCATCAAAGACATAAGCGGAGACTGCAACCAAAGTTTTCCGAGAAAATAAATCTGTTAAACAGCTCTACTTAGAGTAACTTGTCACGCAAGTAACTTATCACAAACCAGCGCACAAATACGTGAAGATTATAGAACTTACAGAAATTGCAGAAGGCATTCCAACAACTGGATCTTCGAAGAATTTATTTGCAAGAGCCAGGGCAAGGAGGCTACTTTGCATTCCTGACATGGTTAGACAAATGAATTTGTTCAGTAAAGTAACATATGCTACTACAAGCACCCGATGGACGAAAACGGAAGAAAAGTTGCACCTGTCTCGAAGGATATTGTTCTCTGCAGTGGTTTCACATCAGGAGAATCACGAAAGACGAGTCCGCTAAGAATATAACCGGCTACAAAAGATGATAAATGGAAAGCAACAGCGAGCAAAAAGATAGAAAAACCAAAGGGAGATTTAACTGAGTCAATGTTAAGAGCAAGTGGTGCTCCTGCAGAGAGTGCTGCTATCAATACCGATAGTGGAGGCAAAAACGGTCTAATAGCATTACAAATACGAGGAAAGAATCTGAAAAAAATATATATTCTATTATGAGAGGCAACACTCTTTAAGAAAATACTAATGTTAACAAATTGATCTGAGCTTAAATATAATATTGATTACCGATTTAAAAGTAAACCCAATGTAATAGGAACCAGCACAACCTGTGTAATACTAAACACCATTCCTTTTACATCTATAGGAAGTTTCTTCCCAATGAGTAACAATAGTAAGAGTGGTGTGACAAAAACTGCAGAAATAGTTGACAACGATGTCATAACTATGCTTAATGGTGCCATTTGCGGGTCGGATAGAAAAGTAGCGTAACTTGAGAGCTGCGCTCCACTAACACAAGCCAGCAATACAATTCCTGCGCCTGAGGGACACCGATTGAGTTTTAAGGAAGAAGTTCAGAGTTCAAATCCTAAAAACTAAAATAACTACAAACTTAGTAACATTTACTTATCAAAAATAAGGATCGTCCTCACCTGTTGCCGTCGGTAGACCAAATATGTTTACTGAAATTATGCAAAGAAGATAACCAAGAAGAGGTTTCACTACAAATTGACCAAAATAAGCAGTGAAAAGTTCTGCTGGCCTGTTAAATGCTTCAAGGAAGTCCTTTTCACTTGAATTAACTCCAACTGCAAACATCAAAAATCCTAATGCAGGAGCATAGTATCTGCAGGTAAATAGATAACTAAATCATATACATGTCTTGTTCACGTGCTAAAATGTGAAATTAATTGTAAAATAACTCTTTTATCAACAAATTCATACAGAGAATCGACAGACCTGCTGGTAAACCACGTAAAAAAATGCGGGAAGATTAGAGCTAGAAGTGTACTTGAAAAGACTACGTAAGGTAGAAGTGAATTTGCTTGCTTAAGAATCTCCAAAATGAACATTGATTTTTGCTTTATTATCTAATGATAGAAACATAATAACTTGTTTTATTTTTTATGGTAGCAAATAAATTATGTGTTGTTTGAATCGAAAATACCTGAGGGATTGGATCGGGAAGCAAGGAATCCGAAGAGTTCAGCGATGCACATATGAGAGGTAGCTTGGAACTCCTGTACTCTGTGAAGCCAACAACAAAAGCATGCATAAAAGAATTTATTATTCTTTGCAGATAGAAAAACTTGGAAGAAAAGATATGTTTCTAAACACAATGAGAGTGAGTACTACGTAGGAAGTGCGAACCCAAGCGAGTCGAGAATTTAGAAGAAACGTTGGTCATGCATGGCACATAAATTGGAGGCTTTCTAACATGTAAGAGTGAAAGATGTGAGCAACTAACATTAGTTATATTATGCAACTGATTCATTCTGCATGAAATTATTGAATACATGTTTTGTATCAGAGTTTATATTCGACTTGACCAGCTAGAGTGAGGAACTGCTTTGCATTTAGCTGGATTATAAATTCCACTGAAAAAATTGTTGGCGAATTAGTGTTCGTTTGTTTGTATCTTCCATTGAAAAAAACATTGAAATTGTTTAATGGATACTTTTTCAATTTGATAAAATAAGAACAATGATATGAAATGCACTGCATTATGAACTAATAAGAGTGATATGTCAGAGTTAGTGGGAATGGAAGAGTGGATATGAATTAAATATTGGGTCCACTCATCAACACAGATTACTTATTTTAATTGATTTTGATGGATTCATTTCATTGAAACACAAGTGCTAAATAGAATAACATGAATTTCGGTTCATCAAGAACATAAGTCTCTGCATTCTGAATTTCATGTTTGAAGAATAGTTTGTTTCTTCTTTTTTTTTTTTTACAAAAGTTATTGATTCATACGAATTAACAATTTGTTTACATTAGATAAAAACTGTAATGAATGCTTATATTTGAGATCATACTTAATTTCTTATGATGCTCCAGTTAAATTAATAGAATTTAGGCGAGGTAATTGTAAGAACTCGCGAGCAGCCGTGAAATCAAGAAAAAAGCTCAGAGAAAAACTGAACTCTCATTTTTTATTAGCTTCTTGTGTACATTGATCTAATAATACGAAGAAAAAAGAAAAACTAACTACATAACTAAAGAAAACAGTTAGTGTGAGTAGTTAGAGAAATAAAATAATTAAAATATTGACAGAAAGTGTTCTAAAAAACATAAAATAATTGTAGCAGTGACTAATGGTGAAGTTGGGTGCATTATTTTTCTTTATGCAGCCCTTGTTTTGCATGGGTTAGAAACAATAGGTCTATATGCAGCCCTTGGTGAAGTGGGATTTTTTTAATCACCAACTTGCTTTTGATGTTCCTATAATTACACAGAGTCACTAAAACATGAATATAAAAGTGTCAATTATTTCACACGGCAGGTTCTACACTAACCTCACAAAAACAAATCAGTGGTGTGATATTTTTAAATTTTCATGGTATATAATGTATAATATGATATCAAACTTCTTCCTGTAGTTGGTTTCTCCTTATGATGCTTCAGCGGTACCGAGGTGCTCGCTAAGGTAGAAGATGGACCCAATGTGCTTAATACACATCTAAATCCATACCTTTCAGGTGCTGTGTTTCATCTCATGCTTTCCTTTTTTTGGCCCAGATCAAGACAAGACCAAATCCCATCAAAGACATAATTGCAGTCTGCAAAAGAAATTAACCATTTATATTAGAGTCAAATGATATTTTGATTCAGATAAACCGTGTTTACAACAGTATATAGATGTTTTATTTAAACCCTTCTATTTTCTAGACCTAAAACAGTAGTTTTGAATTTTCCAACCCAACGAAGTAATCATCAATTCAATGGCGAGAATATGCATTGAAGGGTGCTAAATCATATAACATATTCTGTCTCTTTAAAACCAGTGAAAAATGAAAAAAAATTGTACAGTCCATGTGAACGAGAAGATGCAGAGGTATCAAGACAGCTTATATTAATAGGGTACATGACTGTTATTAGAGTCTAACCAGAGTTGAGAATTTACCGAAATTGCTGGAGGCATACCCACTACTGGATCTTCAAAGAACTTATTAGCAAGAGCCAGAGCAAGGAGGCTACTTTGCATTCCTGCGATAGGAGAAAATAAGTTACTTAAGTCTTAAGTAACATAAGCTAGTGAAAGCATTTGATGGGTGAAAATGGAAGAAAATTTGTACCTGTCTCAAATGAAATTGTTCGTTGTAGTGGCTTCACTTCAGGAGAATCACGGAAGATAGAACCACCTAGTGCATAACCAGCTATAAAAGCTGACAAATGGAAAGCAACAACAAGAAGCAAGATAGAAACTCCAAGTGGAGATTTAATAACCTCCACGTTAAGAGCAAGGGGTGCTCCAGCACAGATAGCTGCCACCAACACGGACAGTGGGGGCAAAAATGGTCGAATAGCATTGCAAATACGAGGAAAGAAGCTGTGAAAAATAAATTATGTAAAAAACAATGCCTTTAATAGAGACATTAATGCAGAAAAATCGATTTAAATTTGAAACAATAGTTGTACCGATTTAGAAGCAGACCAACAGCAATAGGTACTACCACAATCTGTGTAATGCTAAACACCATTCCTTTTACATCTATAGGCAGTCTCTTCCCAATGAGCAACAGCAATAAGAGTGGTGTAACAAAAACCGCGGAAGCAGTTGACAGCGATGTCATTACTATGCTTAATGGTGCCATTTGTGGGTCTGTTAGAAAAGTGGCATAATTTGAGAGCTGAGCTCCACTAACACAACCCACCAATACAATCCCTGCGCCTGATTCATTTACCTCAAAACAATAAGAAAGCATATCTCACAGGCTCTCTAATATTATATAGTCAAAATTACATCTGCGGTCTATTAGAAACTTAAAGGACTAACCCAGATAATAGGTCAAATTTAAAGGACCATTCTCAATTTTTACCTATTCCTGCTGGTAGACCAAAAACAGTTACAGCAATAATATAAAATAGATATCCAAGAAGAGGCTTCACAACAAACTGGCCAAAATAACCAGTGGCAATTTCTGCAGGCCTCTTAAATGCTTCAAGAAAGTCTTTTTCACTTGAATTGACCCCAACTGCAAACATCAAAAATCCTAATGCAGGTGCATAGTATCTGAAAGTACATCACATAATAATTACAAATTCATAACTGAAATCATTTAAAATCATAAATTATAGTTCAGATTCCATTATGTTTCAGCTATCAATAGTTTGCGCAACTGCATTCCATTTTGCATTGTCAGTTTAAAGAGATACATCAAAGCATTCTAGATGACTATATAAGAGTCAATGATTGTGTCTTCATTGCTGCAAATCACCTGGTTAAATCAATTTCTCTAAAATGCTAATAATTATAAAACAAATCAATATTTTCATCAACCAATTCTTGAAGAACATACACAGACCTGGTAGTAAACCAGGTTAAAGAGGGTGGGTAGATAAGAGCTAGCAGTGTACTAGCAAGGACTGCAGGAGGCAGAAGTGAGTTTGAGTTCTTCAGGATCTCCAAAATAGTTTGTTTCACCGTCTGAGGAAAGAAATAAAACAACCAAAAACAGTTATGTCCTGCATTACTCTGTTCTTGATTATCTGCGTAGCACAATTTTCACAAAAAAACCAAACTTGATTATATTAAAGAATCTGCCATATACTACCGGTATTCACCAAATACTAAGATTGGTCTTTATACCATATTCGACTGATCTTTGTACCATCATAGGGTATATTTCTAGACCAATTACCTACTGTGCACTAATTGTACAGTTAAGAACTGAGTTGTTTTATTCTGGAGGCGTTGTGGTTGATAGTTTGTATCATAAGTCTTTATGCTATGTTTAGATATCATAAAATGAACGGAGCGGAGCAAAGACTTCATTCCATCATTTTGAAACTTTAGGATGGAACATAACAAATTCTTCATCTGCGCAAATCAAAGGGGAAGAAATATGGTGGTAACTGATGAAATAGAATGAAATTCATACCACTCCATTCCACCCCGCTCCATTTGATTCTAAATAATCCAAATAATAGAATACCACTCCATTTCATTTCATCTCATTCTGCTCCGCTCCATCCGATTCCATCTATCCAAACAAAGCCTTAAGTTATACTAAATTGCACCTGCGGTCTTTCAAATTTGACAAGCTTTTTTTTTCAAATTACTGTTATGAAATGTGAAGATCTAATCCAAAAAACAGTATATGAGTTATTGCTTTTAGCTTATTTAATCTAAAATAGGTCAAAAATAAGAGTCCTTAAGTTTATTCAATTGAATAGTAGTAACAAAATAATTGATGTAATGGTACCGTAGTGGGATGAGAAGAGTGGTTCGGGGTTGGATCGGGTGGGTTGGAATCGGAGAAGTTTGCCGATGCAGCACATTTGAGGGGAAGCCTGGGACTCGAAACCGCCAAGCGAACTGAAAAGAATAAGAATTGCATATTAGAAATAGTTGAATGTGGAAAGAGAAAGGGAAATGAGAGAAGAAATATACGTACTGCCACTATAGGGGAAGTTTGAACGCAGAGGAATCGAGAAGGAAGAGACGTTGGTGCATTTGGCGCATCGGAGACGGAAGTGCGATGATAGAGGAAGAGGCTTGACTCTGCCCGAAGAAATCGAATTCATGTTTTGAATGTGAGACGAAACACTATTCTCGATAGAGAAAGGGCACCGCACGCACGGCACGGGACTCTTTTTATACTCTTTTTATACTCTATAGTTTTACAACTCAACTAGTGCTTCTATTAGCTAGACACACATTTCAATTCATTCTTTATTGCATATTGGATTCTCTCAAAATTATACGGGATCTACTTAATTTAATCAACCTCTATTTAGAGTTGATCAAGGAATTTGATGCCTTAAAGTTAAAGAATGAGTACTAAAGATTGGTGAAGACTAAGTCAAGCAAGGATCTTTGATATTATGATGCAATCTTATAGAGTTCAGGGAACATAATGGATTTTTGCAAAAGAGATTAACACTAATAAGTGTCTTAAAAATGTTTTTATTGAAGTCATTTTGTTTTTCTTTATTAATTAAGAACTTTTGAAAATATTTTCATATTCATTAGGTTTTAACAAAGACCATTGAAAAAACTATATAATCATACGTGTTTTTAGAGAGAGACCTCTTTATAGAATTTATCGTATTTCTCTCTCACTCACTTCTTTTTTATTAGGATTTTGGACAATGATTTTTTCTCAGTTTCTTCATCAGAGTTTTTTCAAAATATTTTCTTTGATATTTTACCTTCTTTAGCTAAATTTTGGCTCTGTTGATATAGATCTTTTGTTTCATTAACCTTGAATTTTATAAGAGTCATGAACAAACAAAATATTATATTATCCAAAGAGGAAAAAAAGGGTTACGATAGCGTTGGAGGAA